TTTGGGGGACCAAAATGACCCCTTTTACCAGTGTGGGCAGGGCAACTGCTAACAAATGCCCATGTGCTTTGCTTGTTTTGTGTGGTGCAAGTTGGTTCATTTTGTGTGGCAAGGGTGTGCCGGCGCCACTTGCGGTGGTGGGAAGTACCTTTCAACAAATGTTGCACCATGCCCATACTGCTCATATCATCATCATCATCATCAGGGCGTGAGATTGTAGGATGTTACATGACTAAGTTGAGTCTTGGACTTTGCCCAGACCCAAAAACTTGTCCCCTTAGTCGCTAGCCACCAAGTGTGCCCACAATGTTTGCACTGGGGAATCAAATGAACTTCAATATATGGATCCTGTCTGAGACTTCTGCCGCCGTGTCGCCATGACATCATTCGACGTGCTGGACGCGGAGATGGAGAGGTTGAAGGCAATGTCTGGTGGCGGCTCGAGCTTGGAACCCATATTGTCGTGCACTCAGCATGTACATGTGGACATCTTGACAGTGCGGGAAATATCGTTGCGTGACAGAGAATGACATATTATGGATCCTGCGCCAATTCAGCTTGCCTTGGGATAAAGTTTGTGCACCATTCAGTTTTTCGCGAGGCGTGGGTTCCACGATGCCGGTTTCCAGGCTGTGATTCAGCAGCCCGGAACAAGACACGTTCATGCTGGCATGTTTTGACGATCCGGATTGTCCTGCACCCAGCTCAGGCAATTTGCAGCTGAGAGGGCTCTGCATTTTCAAGCCACATGCCCAGATGGTTCACAGCCACTCATTTGGACCCAGCTTGGAGCTTAGCTTCCCGAGGGGTTCCTCGGTTTCTCTTCATGCAATACGATGAAATATGCTCCAATCAGAATCAGGTATTTCAACGAGTACCGCGAACTCTTTGAAGAGCATTTGCGGCAAATATTACATTCCCTCGGAATGACGGAAGACACGTTCCATGAACTGTGCGGCTACTTGCAGGCCGGACTGTCGTGCTCAACCTTTTCGTGCTTTTCTCATGTGTGATTTGCTTGTCACTGGCATGAACAATGTCTAGCGCTTTTTCCTTCAAAAGTTCAGTCAGCAAGCAAACAAAGAGCTGCAAGGAAATCGGTAACCATTGGACATACAAAGCACCGTGAACAACTAATTTACTGAGGTCTTACAGCTGGTGGTTGGGGCTAAAGTTTCTTCAGATGGTACGTGGGCTGACCGTGCGTTGAACGGTTTCAGCAACATTTGTAAGCCTCGCGAGATTTAGATGTGTCACGTCCAGATCTCATTGGGTTATGTTTTGGTGCGTGTCCTACCCGCCTTTCCATGTTGATGATGCGGTACGAAGGAGATTGAAGAGAACTTGGGCGATGATTCTGAGAATTTATATGGCTACATTAAGGCCGGGTTTGGAAGGGCTGCCGATTTCTTGCAATATTGCCTGCAAGACATGCTGCAGGCTATCACTTCATCTGAGGATTACGATGCATTCCTGCAGTTGATGTTCGCAGAGGCCAGCTGTCAGTTGGTATATGTTGGGCGACGGTTTTCCATGCCATCATGTCGAGGTTCAGCGACAACAGCAGCAAGCTGGAGCACCCAAGCGAAGATGTTCGTATTCTCATTCTTGCGAAAAATTGAACAATTGGTCCAAGCTTTGCTGTAGTTCAAGAGCCAAGGCTGGCCCCGGAACGTCACAAGAGATTGACGTAGTAGTGCCCGAAGGCATGGGTCCTGGGGAGCTCCTCTCTCATACACGAGCAGGGAGTGGGACATGTTTCGGATGTAGTTCCTGTTGTTTATTCTGAGTTTTGTGCGTGCGTTCATCGCGTGAGATGAGTGCAAGCTGTTTTTACAGCTCGCATCCTATTTTTCTGGGCGACATGCCTTGATTCCGTAGATGCAAGCGATCAAGAAAGGACGGAAGAGCTGGTGTGGAGTATAAAAGAGGGAATAAGGATAGAAGGAAGGAACGAAATAGAAGGGAAAAGAGAAAGATAGCATACAAGAAAGGAATAAACTGTAGTAGCAATCACAGTAATCATAGCAAGTGAAAAGTGAAGAAAGACAACGGAAAGCAGAAATGATGAAAAGAAAGCAAGAAAGAAAGGAAGCAAGAGCGCCAGAAAGAAGGACATAACTAAACACTCGTCAGCATTGATAATCAATTCTTCATTGCTCTTGTAATTTTTGATCATTGTCATCATTTTTTTTTTATGATTTCTCATCATCTTACATGATTTCCCAGTATTCCCCACCCTCACAGTGGGGTT